CCAGCAAGTGTAGTGCAGGCCAGCGGGCTGGCAGCTAAGGTTGTAGAGCAGACTCATTATGCTCCCTGTATGTAGTCTCTGTGTCGCCCCATGGGGCGGTCACACCCAGCCAGTGTGTGGGTCACATAAGGAGCCCTGGTGATCAGCTGAGACCTACCCCGTAGCTTGCAATACAACCCTCTGCCACCGGAGCTAGAGTAGGAACTCCAATGGTTGGCAGCAGTAATAGGCTGTTACTCCCTAGTATGGGGGAGGGGAGGGCATACTGAGGTTCAGAAATTGCATGGAGGGCCAGGAGTGGAAGGCTAAGAGAGGCCGTGCCTCTCCCAAACAATCAGGCATGGTCCAGCCAGTGCCCCCATCATACCCCTTGCCTGCCTGCCCAGTCCCCTGACCATCCCCCAGAGACACCCACCCCTAGCCAACTTCCCTTGCTCCCTGCTCCACAGGGCCCCACCCCCTAGCCAACCCTTCCTGCTTCCTGACCACCCCCTGGAACCTCTGCCCAGCCACAGCTCACAGATGAGGCTACCGGACGGGGGACAGAAGAGGAGGGGCCGGGCGGAGCCGGGGAATGGACAGAAGGGTCCAACAGACTGGATTTCCCCCCCCCCCCCCGGTAGCTGGTGCACACAGGGGACAACACAACGGGTTACACCCACCAGGGCACTCAGAGCAATTGGTCGCAGTGTGGGCAGGCTGCTGTTTCACGCAGAGAAATTAAATGAAAACTTCCCGCAAGCTCTCTTTTGGGGGCCTGTACCCTCACTAAGGCAATGCCCCCAGGGCGGGGGGAGAGGGGAGAATAAGGGGAGTTCTGACTGAGGATTGTAGCCTGCTAAAATCTCTCTTTCCTATCCTGTCCCTTTCTTGCTATATTTTAGTAGTATGCCAAAAACAAAGGCCTCTTGATTTATCCTGTATGAATTAGCTTTAGCAATAGCATTGTGATCAAGGGTTAAATGATTTTTCTTGTTATTTGATTTTCGATATCTGTCTATGTGCTGTGTAAGAATTACGAAAGATCTCCGGCGAAACCTTCAGCCGGGCCTAGGGACACAGATGGGCTAGGAGTCAACAGAGCGTGATTAGAAATAAGTCCCGAACGGCAACGCTGGATTCTCAAGAGCATTTCCAACACTAGAGAACTTGGGGCAGGTGAGAAACGTGCCCGTTTGGCTGGCCTGGTCTCGTTAGCGAAGGGCAAAATGGGCGCTGACTTTGGTAAGATGGGGCAAAGCATCTCACTGGGGTTAATACCTCTGCGTCCAGGGCTGGATTAGGCCAGGCCACGCATGGCGAAGCCAAGGCATAACCAGAATCAGAGCATATGGGACTAGAAACAGGGCTCAGGCAGAAGTGGGCAGCCCCAAACACATAAGGCAGGCGGTCCAAGCCTGGCTTTGGCTCAGCTCCACACGAGAGAGGCTGAATCGTATTATGAGATGAGGCATCTTCGTTTTTATTATGCTGCCCTCCCATGGGCACCTCAAACTCTGCAGCAGGAGCAGGGTTAGAACTCACGGCCTCCTGCTCTGAAAGCAGGCGCCGCTCGCTTCCAAAGAACTGCCGGCTGCAGCACGGAGACTCCGTTTTAGGCTCCTACCAGTAGATGGCAGCGAATGGAATGACACAGCCGCTCCCTCAGATACGTAACTAATAATACACAACTACAACTAACGCGTTAACAAGGCCCTGTCAGACGACGAGACTTTCAGCCTCAGCACTGGATCATTAGATTACACCCACTCAGAGTGTCAGGGGTTTCTCATTTTTTGGAGGAAAAAACTGCTGAAAATCCATTGCAAATGAAACATTTTGTGCCTAGAACACACTGAGAAATAACAGGTCAGGGTTTCTCTACACGGGGACATTTCATTAGAGTATTACAGCAATTGATTCATGGAATGCTTTTCGCACGCACCACTGAAATGCAGCCACCTCTGGGGTGGGGCGCAGGCGCCGTGTGAAAGGATGCAGCAGTGCACGGCCTCAGATTTTTCAGGATGGCTGAAAAACCTTCAACGAAGCTACACAGAGAGTTTGGAGAGGCAGGCGATAATTAACGCCCACGTCGGAATTTGACCGAGACATCACTGTTAACAACCCGTCTCTCCTGAGAAGTGCCAGGGGGTGAGCGAGGCCCCTGAATGGTGAAGACTTCATAGCTCATGCAGAAGATGGCGGCTTTGGTGCCATAGCGCCCCCTAGCGCTAGGCTGGGAGCATTGGCTCAGTAGGCGTTGGCGGGAAGCGCGCCACCTACTGGCTCGGTAAGGAGCATATTTGGTTACGTACGTCACAAGTGTATGTCGAGAATGTATTTCTGACTCTGCGTTTTCTGACCAGGCCACGTGCTGTGGGCTTTCTAGTATAGATCGTCGAATAGAGAGACGGCAGCCAAGCCCTGAGTGAGATCATCAGAGCCTCTCTCCTCGGCGAGCGTCTCAAAAGCATGTTACAAGCAGAAAGGACCCGATTCTGCTGCTTTTACATGGAGTAGCAATTACTATTGAGGGACCCCTCTGGTTTAGCAGGTCTCTTGAGAGTGCACAGACTAGCCCGTCAGGACTGCAGAATCAGCCCCTAAAGAATTCATCCTTACAGCATCCCTACGAGGGAAGAGTACGCAGATCACAGTTGCCCCTCCGCTCCTCCCTCCCCCCCATCACTGATATGCAGCTACTTCTGGAGCAGAACAGCAAGCTGTTGAACAGCGCCCAGCAACACTGTCAACAGTTTAAGATAGAACGTTCAGCCAACTCCAGTTCACTTTTCAGGAGGAACGTAGATCATTTCCTTGGAGTTTGGCCACAAAACGGCGTCAGATGTCTTCAAAAACAAGGGTGTTAATGGCCACAAAAGTCTAGGCTCTTGGCTTTACATGGAACTCACTTCTCTGTGGTGCTTGTCGATTTACCCTTCATCCCTCATGCCCCCTGCATGAGTGTACCCTTCAGGAGCACCCTGCGAGTTAGGAAAGCACGACTATGCCCATTTCACTGGTGCGGAAACCGAGGCACAGCGCAATGTCAATGGTGACAGTGGTAGTCGTGGGACACAGCCGAACTTGAACTATCCCAGGACCGTGGCTTAGCCACAAAACCCCCCTTCCTCCCTCTCGCTATTTCCCTAAGAGCGATCACAACCCCCCGCCCCCACCCCTGCCCCCACAACTAGAATACCAGCGCCGCTTCCATGCAATTTTGTTTGCAGTTTGACAGAGTTTTTCATGCCCTCATTGTTCCCCTTGTCCTCCATCCACCATCCTGCCCCCCCCCCCCCGTTCCTTCCGGAGCTTTGAAGTCAATTTCAAACCCCACCGTCCCCTCCCTGCCCCGAACCATCCTTTGGACTCCTGCACTGACCAGGGCATGCAACGGAAGCATCGATCACCTGAAGGCCAAACACAAGGGGGACTGAACTAGGGGCAGCCAGGCTAAAAGCTGGCCCTGCCACAGGCTGAGCTAAAGCCCCCGAGAGGGGGGCAGTAACAGAGTCACGTCCTCTTGGGGTCGGGCACAGAAGGAAGCGCCTCACACGCCCGCACTAGAGGTCGGGTCCCCTTCCTGCCGCTTTAAAATCCCCTCTAGGAAGCCCCAGACACACGGGGGAGACTGGAGATGCCCCAAGGCCCTTAGTCCCCATGTCTGAGTAATCACTGCGGGAACGCTGCCAGCTCCCGTCTACACCCAGGGACCCCGAGGCCCTGGCAGCGATCAAAGCACTTTCCTGAGGTCGGGTGGCCGTGCACAGCTCTGCTGGAGCAGGCCGATGGAGTCTGCGGGTCCCAAGGAGACCAGCCCTGCCCTGCCCCGAAGAGCAGCCAGTCAGCGCGCTCCAGCCGGCGGCTGTTAGCAGAGCATCGCTGGGCCGGGCGGCGGCCTGTGCCCGATTCCATGTAACTCAGGAGCACTGGGGCTGGTGTTTAACAAGAGCATCGGCCTCCTCCAGCACACGAAGGGAGAACGGCCAGTAACAGAGTCAGTCGGGCAGCCAGGGGCCTCGCAATGGGAGAGAGGTGGGGGGCCAGGAACGCCCGTCTCCGACCAGGTCCAGGGATTGCCAGCAACCAGGAATCTACATGTGCCCGGGACTGGGGAGACTGGAGCGATGAAGGAGCCTCTCTCAGAACTTCCAGCCTCATCGAAAACCAATCCCAACCCGCCTGATCGCTGGGGAGACCCATCCTGTCATGCCGGGGACCCTGCTCCCAAGAGGTCCCACCTGACCTGGCACCTGAGATCCAGCAGCTACTCTCCCTTTCTTAGCGGTCTAATGCCCGCCTCTCCAGCCGTGTCTGTCCAGTCCCACGGCAGCGCCCGATCTCGCCGGTACCACCTCACCACGCGCCAAAAGGCGTCCTTGCTGCTGGGGGCCTTGGCTGCAGTTTCCTTAAGCGGGGAATCCGAGAGCCCTAGGGCTGGAAGAGTCACCGAGTCCAGCCCCAAACTTCTTGCCTCGTAGCCCCTTAGCTCGACTTGGTCCAGCGCAGACAGCGCCACGAAGGGCGGGTGGACAGACGTGGCTGGTTCAGCCTCACATCTGTCTGTTCTCCACGCCACGGATCCCACTCCTTGGACTGCTCCTGTCCCTTTCTCACTAGGTCAGTTACACCCTCAGCTTCATCCCTTCCTCCATGGGGAGGTCCCCTCTTTTCCCCACTGCCACCCCCCACATCTGACCCTGCAGGGAGCTTCCAAACCCTGCATGTGCCCAGAGCGCTGTCTACTCTACACGCCGTGCAAACATCGGCTAACCCTGATCACCTCCCCCTCTGGAGGAAGCCTTTTGCCACCATTTTAGTGACGGGGAAACTGAGGCACAGCAAGGCAACACCGCTGGCCCAAGTAGGTCAGAGGCAGGATTCAAACTCCAGATTCCCTGCCTCCTCCAACTCCTGCATCCTCCGCTGCCTGGGCTCTACAAGCCACCAAACTGTCTGCAGACCATTGGCCAAATCGACCGCTCCCTCCCGACGCCTCGCTGCCGGGGCCTTACCTCGGGACAGGTTCCCGGAGATGAAGCGGCAGAAGTAGCGGATCCAATTGCCCAGGTGTTTCTGGCAGCTGAAGTCCCAGATCTCCAGCCGCGCTTCCAGGGAGCGCCCCGAGGTGCCCCTTGCTTTGGCCTCTTTCGGGGGCATCCTGCCTCGCTCCCGCCGGCCCTCTTCCGCGCTTCCCGGCCTGGCTCGCTGGGCCAGGCTGCCTGGGTTTCCTAAGGTAAGCGCTTTGTCTCTGCTGCTGCCGGCTGCACTGACCTTCTCTCCCACTCCACCTGCTCTGACTCCTCCTTCCGCCTCGCTGGGGCTCCCCTCCCGCTCCTCGCTGGAATCCCTGGCAAAGTTGAATTTCTTCCGGCTGAGCACAAGGGCTGTCCACCTCCCAAGGGCTGTTCGGGGACCCAAGCACCCCGCAAGGCCTGAGGGACTCGACTCGACTCTCCTCCCGCTGCGTTCAGGAGTCACACTAAACTCCCTGGGCTCCCAGGTTTCCTGCTTTCTCCTCTGCCCCTTCCCACCACGCCGCTGTTCCTCCTCCCGGGCTTCGAGTGAATTTAAGGCAGCAAAATCTCTTGGCTGGTTTGGCCTCTTCTGTGCTAAGTCCCTGCATTTCACGTTGCCTAGGAGCTGCATCCCCAAAACTCACCCTGGGAGGGAGCCTTCACACTAAACTCCCTGGGCTCCCAGGTTTCCTGCTTTCTCCTCTGCCCCTTCCCACCACGCCGCTGTTCCTCCTCCCGGGCTTCGAGTGAATTTAAGGCAGCAAAATCTCTTGGCTGGTTTGGCCTCTTCTGTGCTAAGTCCCTGCATTTCACGTTGCCTAGGAGCTGCATCCCCAAAACTCACCCTGGGAGGGAGCCTGCCATCCCCCCCCCCCGGGGCCTCTGCTGGTCCTGCCCCTTTGTCTCGACTGCCCCGGGGTCCTTGGGGCTGGGGCATCTCTCAGAGCCCGGCCAACAGGCAATTTGCTTTCCAGTTTGCTGTCACAGCTATCCGCAGGCTCAAACACGCAGCCTTCTGCGCCGAGGCCCTAGGACCGCTGCAGCCACTGCCCCCGTATTAGGGCTGACCTGTCTCAGCAGCCAGCAGAGAGGCAGGAGGCGCGGCTGGCAAGGTCTGACCTTCCCTCCAAGGCAAGGTTACCAACGTACCCGACCACCCCTCCTCCTCCCGTGCACCTTGTCGCCACCGGGTCAGGCCGGGCAACTCCTGCGCTAGGATGGCTCATTCTCCCCACAAAAGAATCTTCCAGGCTGACAGGCCCTGTCCCGGCAGGCAGTAGGGAGTGCAGGCCCTGTGCCAGACAGGACTGGACAACACCCGTCAATGCCAGAGAGGCACGAGGTTTTCCTGATTATCTCAAAGAAAGGGGCGGCATCCCCATTTTATGGATAGGGAAACTGAGGCAGGGCGAGATGGGGGTTGCCCAAGAAGCCAGAAGCAAGGTTGAGAGGAGCACCCAGGTGTCCCGATGCCCAATCCCGTGCCCTAAATCCTCCAGGGACCCCCGTGGGTCGTGTGTTCCGGGCAGATGTGGCGACCTGGGCGGTTTTTTGAGCAAACCAGGGAGCGGGGGGCGGGGGGGGAAGGGCGCAGCTCTGGTGGCGCTTTTTCTTCCTCCTGCTCCACCCCCCCCCGCCTTCACCCCTCCCCATGCAGGGGCTGGCTTGTTTCTCCTGGTGGGGGCTCCACCCCCACTCTGCCCCAAGCCCTGCCCCCACACTGCTTCTCCCCCCCAAGGCCCCACCCTCGCTCCGCCCCTTCCGACTCCGTGGGAATCCAGGGCTCCCGGCACCCCACGGGATTGGGCCCTTGAAGCCAGGAGGGGTGAGGGGCTGCTCAGCTCCTGCCCCTCCCACCCAGCTCAGGCTCCCTCCCCCGCCCGCCTTCCTGCCCCTCCCCGGCTTCCACGCCCGCAGCCCGGAACATCGATACCCGTGCTCGTTGCGGGACCGTTCCTGCCTCTCTCGGCGTAATCGGCGCCCCCGCCCCTGCGGAAAGG